GAATGATACGCCTCTGACAGCTTTGGTACAGATTATTCCCAAGCAAAGGGCTTTTGATCTTTGTTTGCCTTACGTTAGATATCTGCCTGTTTGATGTATTTCCTGGTGTAAATAATCATTCCTACCAGTTTTTTTTTTAGAGGTATAACTTCTATCTGTTATTACTAAAGCAAAATTCTGATTCAAGTCAGTTCTGTTAATTTTCAGTTCTTAAATTTTATCTAAATGATAATGTGCCATATGTCCCCAGCAGTTTCCAAGAGATAAATATGTTGTTAACATACCAACTGACTGTAATTGCCATTTTGAGTTGATGTGTCTATAGTAAAGTTTTACAATTTCTTAAGTAGAAAGAACCATTTGAAATATATTTTTAAATCAAGATCTCTTTGAGATATAGAAGTCTTTCTAGAGTCATATTAACTGTAAATGATTGCTGGCTGGGATTTATCTTTTGCAACTGAAATGCAAGCCATTTCATTGAAGAGATAAAGACATTTTTAAAAAGCATATACAGCTCTGGTCTCTTGTTATTTGGCTCTGCTCTTGCTATTCTGAAGAGAATGCGCTTTTGGGGTTTTTTTACATCTGCGGGATGAAGAAAGCATAGCTGTATTGAAGTGTGACAGAACAGAACTGAAATAAGTCTTACTCTGTTGAGAAGTGTGATTGTGACAGGCATAATATTTAGTAGTAATTATAGTGACTTGGCAAAAGAGTAGCAACTAAATTGTTTATGTAAATGAGTGTCACAAACTCATTTGATTTTGTGTTTTGTTCAAAGAATTGCGTAGAGGGTTTTTTGTTTTGTTTTGTTTTGTTTTCTGCAGAGTGCATTTGTTGCTTAAGAAAGCAGGGTCAAGTAAAGCTGATCAGTAGGGTTGCTTTTTAAATTTTCCTGTGATTTTTAGATCAAATAGGGAAGAGGTTTCTTAGGGGAACTTCAGATGCTTTGGTCTTCTTTCCATTCTCCTTAATCCATGTTGCTGGAGGGAAGGAATGATATGGTCCAGACCTTATAAATTGGCACATTTTGATATTTACTTTTGTAGCATTTGCCCATAGATGTGAATTTGTGCTTTCCATATTAATCTCCTCTAAGCACGTTTGACTTTAACGGGCTTGTATTCTGTTTCGATGATTATTCAGTACATAGATATCTACAAATATGGAGCTTTTAGAACAACAACATGTCAGACTGCTCACACTTGTGCGTAAGTAAGTTTGATCATAAACTCACTTGACACCGATGGCATTCATGGTGTTATTCCATGACTCTGCCTGCACAGTTAGTCTGTCTCCTGACTCTTTTTATTTAACTGTCTGACCATTTGTATAAATAAAGCAAACACCACATACTGTCAGAAACAGTTAGGTGGCTGAAACTGATTCAAAGTGTAATATTAAGTTTATTAAAAGGATATCTGTAAATTTAAACTCTCCAGAACAACTGTTTTGTTTTTATTTGATTTTTAAACCTGACAGATTTAAAGCTAGAATGTAGTTTATTTGGAAGAGGCAGCAGGGGGAAATCTTTGGGGGTCAGAAGATTACCTCACTAGTTTGGTAATCAAATAGATGATTCTCTGAAAAGAAAGTTTTCATACAAAACTCAGTTCTGCCAGTTTATCTCTGCATATCATTTAATTAACTGAGAAACTATTCCATTGCCATTTCAGAAACTCTGTTTTACTTGGTTTTCATATGGTGCTATGACAGTTGTTATCTGCACTCACTCACAGGGACAGTTTCATTTATATGGCCGTTTAATAAGGTCTGTAGCCTGAAACTCGAGAGTTCATGCTGCTTCTCTTGAAATTTATCCTGTTTAATATAATTACAGGTGGTAGTACTCAAAACACACTTTTTTCTGTTAAGGTAATTGTTATAGTACCTTCTGACCCCAGGCTTCACAGATTAAGTGTGCATAGGAGGAAAATCTCATCTACATGGCGTCCACTCATCAGAAAAGAAATAATTCTACTTTTGTGATTTCTGTGTTGTTTTGTACAGCAGATTTCACAAGAGCTCCGCAATTCCTGTTATTTAGAGACATTATCAGTATAGTGTATTTACTGATTTCTCTTTTCTGCATAGCTTAGGTATACTTTTTGTAACTTCACAAAACACATGCTCAGCATGATAATTCGTAGTATCAAGTATGATGATATAAACACTGTAACTGTTTATTGTTATTAAATGATTTACCGTTATTATTTAACACTGTGGTGTTTATATGTGAGGGGTTTATATTTCTGTTGATATGTCTGCTTTATGTAATTCAATGTATTTCTTCCTCTTTAGGCTGTGCTGAGTCCTCTTATAGCAATCGCACTGAAAATATCTCAGATTCATGAGAGGACGGGGCGAAAGGGACCCACTGTCATCACCTGAAGCCACGGAAGATTTTTAAACCAGGGCCAAAAGAGGAACAGCAAGCAAGAGACAGGACCTTGCTGAAACGTGTTAGCCATTTGTGCCTTGTATGATTTTAAAAGTTTTCTTGGGGATAGAGGTAGGGTGGGAAGAAAAATTCAATATAATACTGAGCATATTCATTTGCATTGATCTCCAAATACAGTAGCGTATTGACTTCTTGTTTTACCTGCAATATCTTAATTTCAGATAACAATATAACCAAAGAAAGAGGCCTTAACCTTCGAATGTTGTCAGCAATGTGACAGGAAAGGAAAACTGCTTGTTTTTGAATGCTGTGATAACAGTTAGGGAAATTTCAGTTAGGGAGAAAGGGAGAGGAGATGCAAAGCAAAGACATGCTTGGTGAGTATTTCTTGGGATCATTGTCACCTTCTTGTTGGTTTATGAAAACATACATAGAGCATGCCTGAGGCATAAGGGCTGTATACTAAGTTTTGCAAAGGGTGTATTTCCTTACCTGACACCATTCCTCCTCTCCTGTTTCTCCCATCGCTCACAGATGCACACTGGCAGCAGTGTTGTATACACACTTGCACATGCTCCCGAAGAAGGGGTTATACCATATTTTTTTACCCCTGCTTGTAAGGCATATCAATGTGACTTGTGCCTTTAGATTTTCCTAATTTTTTGACTCTCAGTCGTTATTTCCTCCAAAGGGAGGCATTTGTGCTATAGAAGCTGATTGCGTCCTTCCAGCAATATGTCGGATGTGGAATCTGGCTGTCTCTTGCAGTATTCCTCATGTCAGCAGATGATATTGGTGCTTGCTGTGTTTGAAAGGTAATCACTGCAAGTTCAACAATTTTTCATGAAAGAGTTATTATGGAAGTTTTTTAAGTCTTTGGAATACTCATGCTCCACTTAGCACAAAGTGATAAGTGAAGTGTGTGGTGAAGAGGAAATGAAAACAAACGCTAATGAATTAAATAGTAATACTTGTTTGATTCACCAGCTGGATGCAATTTCTGTTAGATTCTTTGTAACAGTGGGTCATGGAATAAAAATCTGGAAAGTGCAAAGGGAGAAGAGGCATCCTGGCATAGATCTGAGAAGTATATTGGGGATATGGACATCAGCATTTTTCTGCTTGTGAAACAATACTGCAGTTCTAGCTACAATACTGTGCTCTGAAGAAGAACACAAACACTTTATGCATGGGACTTGTTTGAAAGCTTTGCTTCCTTGGGAACAGTGTGGTCACTTGTATCATTTGTCAAGATGGCTTTGTGCAACTTGCCTCTTTGCAGTGTGTTTCAATTCATTGTGGTTGTCAAATTTTAGTGCAATTTATATAATATTGCAGCAAAGAAATTGTTTTGATTTCTTTCAACACTTCTGTCAAAAAAATGCTATGGCACTTAGTACACAATAAAGAGTAATGCTGTATTTCTGTCTTAATACGTAATTGTTGACAAGACACTGCACTTTCAAGCATCCTAATAAAACTGCCTTTAATACAATTACATTATCTATTTAATTGACTCTAAACAAGTGAGGTACTAAAGCTTTTACGTAGTATTCTACCTTGCCATTAAATGTTCCCATAAACCAAAAGAGATTTTAAGGCTTTAGTTCTTTTTATAAAGATTTTTTTGGAGACGACAATGACATTCTTACACAGTTTGCACATCTACTTTTGAATATAAAAATATTTGTTTTCACAGAAACCTTGTTTATCTCATCTTTCTTTTTTCTTATAGATCAAACTCCTCTAGGTGCAGGATAGTAAACTCCTAACTAGTGGATCACACATGGTCAAGCGTAGACATACTCTGAATTATGACACTTAGTTCAGATTACTGCGCTGCATGAAAGAACATTTTCTGAAAGGAAGTCCAAGAACTTCTAAAATTTCTTACACGTTCTCTGACAAGAAATAATTTTTGATCACCTGGTGAACTAGCAAGTTGTGGTACCAAATATCCCAATTGCCAAGCTTCTGGGGCTGGGACTTGCACTTCAAAAAGTAGAATGGACTGAAGCCAGGTGTCTTTCAAGATGTGGTGGGAAGGCTTGTGAGGAACAAGTCAGGACTGTGAAGAAGCATACTTGCACTTTTATCAGAAAGTCAACTACAGCACTAGTTGCAGTAGATGACAGTCTGCGTCCATGAAAGCAGTCTTCGTGAACAAAAAATATTTTTTAAAATCTCAGTACTGACTTTGACCTGGGATGCAGAAACAGTAGTTGTGCCTCTGTACTGAATCAGAGAAAAGGGCTGTTTGTGTGTGATTTTGAATAGCTGTCAAACAGCAGACTTCCAGCCTAACCCCAAATCCACTCATTATTCCTTTTTTATGATGACTGGTGATACTGATAAAGTGTAACGACTGGTGATACTGATAAAGTGTAACAGCTGGTGTTTTCCACCAGTTTCTCTGCAAGAAGATGAATAAAACTTTGTAAGGCTGAAGTACAGTGCATATCTTTATTTCTGATGTGTTTGGGAAAGGACTGTAGCCATAATCTCATACTAAGTGTGCTGCATTTCCCGAGGTCTTCTACTTACTAATATGAGAGATGAATACTTGGAAAAGTGCAACATGCGTGAATTTACACAAAGATGCTCCTAAAAATAGACCATACATCTAGCAGAATTAAAACTATTATTAATACTGTTTGTTTTATCACAGCGTCTAGGTGCTATGACAGAGACCCAGACCTTTCTGTGGCTATTGTTGGATTAGCAGTTTCATCAAGTCTGGAAATTGCAAGATTGCTATGTTGTTTAACTGTGCTTGCACTAACATTTATTTGGACAGTAATTCTGTTTCCCCAAACCTCAGATTTTTCTGTACCCAGCAATACAAAGATACTCCCAGCACGCTGGAGGAAAAGGAGAAAGAGGAATTCAGAAAGACCAGTGAGAAAACAATTACAAGGTACAGTGGCAGAGGGCTTACCAAGACAGGGCTTGGGTGGGTCCCAGGAACAGAGGAAGAGGCAGGACGTGGTGGAGAAGATTGGAGAAGATTAGGAGAGGACAAATTGCTGGATTCA